AAAATTACTTTTGATTTCTGTTTGTATGCATACCTCCATATTCCAGCCTTAAAATTCTGGTGGCAATTCATCATTACATATTAAGACAAAGTGCTGATTTTCAATGAAATTATTTTCAGTGTTTATGGAAAATCATAGTGTTGGTGGATACATACATGAGGAGGGAGACAGATTGATTTTCTCAAATTGAGTCATCAAGAAAGAAGTATAATCTACCCTTTTCTATTAAAAACATTAAAATAGATGTCTGGTTTCCAGGTAGGGTGTTAATGCGATAGTGATTTCATATCATTGTTAGCCATAAACAATCTCAGCTTAGAAAATATGTTGTCCTTTATATTCAGAGGTAATTTTAAGAGATGTACATTTTTAGTTGTTTTTAATACACCCCCGTCCAAAAAAAACCCACTGCCATCAAGTCAATTCTGACTCATAGCGACCCTCTTTTGGTTTCTAAGGTGATAAATCTTTGTGGAAGTAGATTGCCTCATCTTTTTTCCACAGAGCAGCTGCTGGGTTTGAACCGCCAACCTTCTGGTTAGCAGTCAAATGCCTTAGGCATTGTGCCACCAGAGCTCCTTATTTTTAATATAGTGGTAATATATTTACTTTGAGCTGTTCATATTCTTTTTTTATGGTTTTAGCACACTCCATACTCTGATCAAGATGGATACACAAAAAGTAAAGGTTTCTCTTTGTTAAAATTTTTTAGCACTTTTTGCACATACATTACTATGTTGTTGTTGTTGTTATGTGTCGTTGAGTCGGCCCCGACTCATAGCGACCCCTCCTTGGGTTTCCGAGGCAGTATCACTACGGAAGTAGGATTGCCCAACCTTCCTTCCAAGGAGTGGCTGGTGGGTTTGAACCGCCAGCCTTCTGGTTAGCAGTCAAGTGCTTTAGCCACTATGCTACCAGAGCTCCCATACATTACTATACTATGTATAATGTTGGATACAAAGATAAATCAGATATGTCTTAGACTTCAAAACGTTTATTTATTAATAGGAAAAATAAATACATAGTTATGAGCTATGTGGCATAGAAAGTGGCAAGTGCCATAAAAACTGTGGGAGTTCAGAAGGATTCATTCAATGCTTATTGAGAATTTCTTAATGTATAGGCTTTATGCTAAGCGTAATACAGCACTTCTAGCCCTTAAGGATCTGACAGTCTGATGGAAAAGACAAAATAGATAAACAGATATTTGTAAGTCTGTATGGTAAGTACAATAATAAAACATATGGACTGCATCTCATAGGAGCACAAATGAGAAGTATCTAACTAATCAGAATGGAGCTCTGGTAGCATAGTGCCTAAGGCACTTGACTGCTAACCAGAAGGCTGGCAGTTCAAACCCACCAGCCACTCCTCAGAGGGAAGGTGGGGCAATCTACTTCCATAGCGTTACCACCTCGGAAACCCAAGGAGGGGTCACTATGAGTCAGATCCAACTCGACAGCTCTTAACAACAACAACAATCAGGGAGGTCCAAAAAGGCTTTCTAAAAGAAATAATGCCAGGGCTCGATCATTACACCTGACTATGGTCAGCAAAACAGAAGTAGAGCTGCATAAGAAGGCATGTAGTATATTCTAGGTATGCAGATCATAGGTCTAGAGTGAGTATTGGTAACAGAGGCAGATTTCAATTCAGTTTGCTTAAAGCAGAGTGAGGCAGGGGTTGATGAGAAATGAGTTCTAAGACATAGGTAGGGGCCAGAGTCAGGATGACTTTAGATTCCATTTTATGAAGCATAGATTTAATCAGCCCCTTATGTGATTATTACTGAAAGGTTTACCCGAGGGGGAGCTCTGGTAGCCTAGTGCTTAAGGCATTTGACTGCTAACCAGAAGGCTGGCGGTTCAAGCCCACCAGCCTTCCCTGGAAGGAAGGTTGGGCAATCTACATCCGTAGTGATACCACCTCAGAAACCCAAAGAGGGGTTGCTATGAGTCGGATCCAGTGCAACAACAGTGAGTTTGTGTTTTGGTTTATTAATAGCTAAGGGAGTGTAACCAGGAGAGGACTTGGAGATTTTAGCCTTAATGATGGAAGACTGACTGGGATAAGAAACAAAACCTTGCTCAGAAATCCACAGGCCTTCTAATCCTGATTTCTTGCTGACTCTTTAGGACAGTGTTAAGTCACCTTATGTTACAATTTCTTTTAGAAAAAAATAATAATCCTATCTACCTATCTGACAGAGTTAATGTAAAATAAAACTGATGATATTCAATGTTTCTCATCTTTGAAGTTTTCACTTTTCTCTGAAATCGTCCATAACTCTTGTTGACCCAGTTTATAAATTCCCTCCTATAGATACCCTTAGGGGAGCTCTGGTAGCACAGTGGCTAAGGCACTTGACTGCTAACCAGAAGGCTGGCAGTTCAAACCCACCAGCCACTCCTCGGAAGGAAGATGGGGCAATCTACTTCCGTAGTGATACTGCCTCGGAAACCCAAGGAGGGGTCGCTATGAGTTGGGTCCGACTTGATGGCACATAATAACAACTACAACTTAGATACCCATACAGTATCTGTTATGGCATTTGTCACATTGTTGCTGGCATGTTGTTTTCCCAATCAGTGTGTGAACTCTTGAAGGTGCACATGGTGCCCTGTTTCTCTTTTAATTCCTTATATCAGCATAGTATTTGATGTAAACTCTCAATAAGTAGTAGGTTGGACTGAATATAACAAATTGCTTAAGTAAGTATGGTTCATATTTGAGAAACTTAGTGTTAAACAGTTTCAAAAACTTGAAAATTATTTTGAGATTATCATTACTTTTTCCTAATTATTTAATTCTTTAATGTCAAAAAAGTGAAGGTCCCTCTTTTGACTAAACCTTACATAGAGTCAGGATAGATAATATTGTTGAAATAACCATTTTGTTTTAGTCCATTATCAGTAATTCTGAAGCTAAAATTTAGCTTTTATTTAAAATATCATCTTTGGAAAAATTAAAAATACGGTAGGTAAATGACTGAAGCAAAGGCAGTCAATTAAATATTAATGAAAAGGTCAGTGGTTCAAACCCACCAGCTGCTCCTGTAGAAGAAAGAATGAGGCATTCTGCTTCCGTAAAGATTTACTGCTTTGGAAATCTAGTGGGTGTCACTAGGAGTCAGAATCGACTCAATGGCAATGAGTTTGGTTTGGTTTTTGGACCACTGAACCAGAATTATTTGGGTCCTTTTTCTGTCTGATAAGTTTCAGTTTACCACAGTAAATCTTTCCAGAAAACAAATTGTCCACCATTTGTGTATGGAATATTATCTTGTGAGTCATTGTGTGTGGTCCAATGAAAACTGTATTATCAACCAAGCTGGAGCAAATGTTCTGTTTGTTTGTTTGTTTTTGGTTGTCCTATCCTCCAGTTTTTCTTGAAAACAAGTATACTTTCAATCTTTCAAAAAATGTGGCTTTGTTTGCATATTTATATACTTTATTAATATAATAGTAGTCACTGAGAATGTTATGTGTGTAAACATTTGTAACATACAGTGTTCTCCTTTCTTTGTTGAAGCACTCTTCTTCCTGTACTCCAGCTAGCAAAAGCAGACGTGTAAGAGATTACTGCACTTTGTGTCCCCATCACCCCTTCTGCCCTACCTCCTGTCCTTTTTGCCTGTGGTTGCACAACATGCTAACGTTTTGTGATGTATTATTACATTTATTGCATGTTTTGTGCTGCTGCTCCTGCTATCGCTGCTCTGCTTTTCTGTAATTTTTTTTTCCTTGTTTTTTTTTTTTTTTATTTTTGGCTTTGATCTCAAAGCTTTAGGAGTGTTCACATAAATTTCTATAGCCAATTAAACTAATAAAATAATAAGATGTGTTTCATATTTTGATTGGGGAAAAACAGTAATCCTAAAGTAGGCTTTCAAAATTGATCAAATATAAAGTAAATGAGTTTCTAAGTGAGAATTTGACACAAGCAAATATGTAGAGATTTCTGAAAGATTTTAATTATGTAGGAAGACAATATGCAATTCATGTTATGCAAAATTTTAAGATATTTGAGACATGTTATAGATCTTGTTGTCTATAATTTTATGTCAGTCATTTCTGGAGAAATCATGGGGAATTTATTTTTGTTCTAAATGTAGTTTAGATAAAAGTACTATGGCCAGTAGAACTGTGAGTTCAGCTGCCATCTCTAATCTCAAACTAATTACTGAGCTTTATGAAAAGATTGTCGGCTCAACTATTTCTTAATTTTTTTTTTTTTTTTACATTTGTGGACAATTAAAACCATTACATATTTGGACTTATTAGTCTGATCATATGTTAGCTGTGGGAAGACTAAGATGTTTTGTGCTCAGTTGTATTAGGTTCTGATATCAGCCTGTAAATTGATTGGATTTTTACATACTTATTTTTTAATAAAGTTATAATTCATAGAGCTTTTGTCTTTCTGATTAAATTTATTATGGATAATAATATCCCAATTACAGAGTTTCACAGTTTTTGGTTACCCAAAACATATTTCTGAATATTAAAAGAAGGAAAAATGTCTTAAGGAAATAACTGTTATAAGAATCTAACTTAAATGACTATATATATATATATGTAGTCATATCTGTATATGAAGGAGCTCTGGTGGTATAGTGGTTAAAGCATTTGGCTGCTAACCAAAAGTTTAGTGGTTTGAACCCACCAGTAGCTCTGCAAAAGAAAGATGAGGCAGTCTGCTTCTGTAAAGATTTGCAGCCTTGGAAACCCAGTGGGGGTCACTATGAGTCAGAATAGACTCAATGGCAGTGAGTTTGATTTTTGGTAGATATATATCGATATGTTGTTGTTACGTGCCGTCGAGTCATACCCGACTCACAGTGACCCCTCATTGGGTTTCCAAGGCAGTATCACTATGGAAGTAGATTGCCCTGTCTTCCTTCTGAGGAGTGCCTGGTGGGTTTGAACTGCCAACCTTCTGGTTAGCAGTCAAGTGCTTTAGGCACTATGCTACCAGAGCTCCCATATAGATATGGAAATAGACATATATTCTTACCTATATTTCATTTATTTGTTTATTAAATACGGACAGATTTCCCAGCTTTCTTCAATTTTTCTGTGCTTAAATGTCTGATGAATGAAAAAAATCATCCACTGAAAATTAGTGATAAAGAGGGAAATGACTGAAGAATTATCAGTTATTCAGCAGTTAAGTAAAAACATCTCAGTGGAATAGTGAGGAACCTCAGTAGTCCCTGGAAATACCAATATATTACAGTAGGACAGAAATAGTTAACATTCCTAATGGTGACCCTAAGCATAGTATACCATGTTATATGCCATGTGTTTTAGATACACAAACATGTAATACTTTCATAATTTTAAAATTCTTTAAGTGACTGCTAAATGCCATTTAAATATTTTCTGTATTCTTGTTTTACTATGCTATTAAGCCTCTTTTATGATTTACATACTTACATTCTTTATAAATGGTGTTAATTATGTATAATATAAGAAAGATTTGTTAGTAGTAGTAGTATTGTCTGAATACAAATGGTAAGGTAAAGTTTCATAGTTTTGTCAGTAATACAGATAAATAGTGAATGTCTGATTTCTGGTTGTTCCTTTAGAGTTTCAGACAGAGATTATAAATAACCAACATGGAGTTAACTTATTTTATATTTTTTGGAAATTTATAAATTCTGAAGAGTAGATATTCAAATGAATATATTGAAAATAAGGAGAAATTTTATAAAAAGAAACAAGTTACATTACTTGTAACTAGTAAGATTACACATACTAGTCATAAAAAAACAAAACAAACCCATTGCTATCAAGTCAACTCTGACTGATAGCAACCCTATAGGACAGAGTAGAACTGCCCCACAGAGTTTCAAAGGCTGTAATTGTTTACAGAAGCAGACTGCCACATCTTTCTCCCACAGAGCAGCTGGTGGGTTCAAACAACCAACCTTCAGTTAGCAGCCAAGTATTTAGCCACTGCACCATCAGGGCTCCTTTTATTATTCATAACCTTCAATAATTTTTTTTTAATGATAAAATATTATATTTACAGTTTTCCACATGATACAGTATGTCTGTAATACTGTTACCATTTTTATCATAAAAGTTCTATTAACAGAAATAATTATACCCATTCATTATGTATTAACATGGTTAGTTTCCAAACACCAAGTCATTATGTGAAAATTGACATTATGCAGAAATAGAGGATAACCACATCAGATCACAAAATGAAGGATTACTACATCATTATGTAACTGCCAAATTACACTATTACATAACTGCCAAGCCACTGAGAATCATGGCCCAGCCAAGCTGATGTATCACCTTAACCTTCTACTTTTGCCTCGCACTTCAGCATTCGTTACTGCCAGATATACATCATTAATGTGCCAAATAGATAGTTAGATTTCTTACCATTGTCGTAAATGCAAAATGTCAGATAATGAGATAGTTGGTAGGTGAGGAATAGGTGTATATCACTAAATATTTGGGTTTGTAAAGTGTTTCTAAATACAAAACATTTGATCATTTGTCACTTTGCTGCCAAAAGTACTAGTAGCTGAAAAATTTTAAAAACTGATGGAAATTTAGTTTTTTCTGTGTTAACTTAGAGTTTTATATTTTGCAATATAAAACAGCATATTAAATAGAAGCTGCTTTTTAATAGTTTAGCTACTTATAATCTATATAAAATCTGGTATCTTCTTTAAAATCAAATTTCTTATGAGAATGTTGTTACTGTACATGTTAAAATATGTAATTATTGTTTCGCCTAAAAACAAGGCCCACTGATACATATTTAAGATGAGGCATTTCAATTATTTTTATTTATAAGACCATCCTGCATTTTAGTTTATATTATTTATAAGACCATCCTGCATAATTTGAGGACTTCTTGACAAGTAAGTCAACTAAAAATCTGACAGTTACCTGAACCTGAAAAAAATCATTTGCTATTTCACTGTGCTACTCTGAAAATACATTTTGAGAATCATTCATTAGAAAGGTTTTAATAAATTCAGGGAATGTTATGGACTTTTTTCATGACAGTCTTAGGCAGTGTGGCCAATACTACTGATAAGCTTTTCTGATATTTTGATATTAAGTTTTTTGCTTCTTTTTAACATTACAGCATTAAGTAAAATGACATAGAAGTATAGTAGATGTTTCTACTGCCTGTTCATCAGAGTAACTTCTTAAAGTATGTTTACTTAAGAAAAAATTACCCAAAATTAGGGGGAAAATCCTATTTATATATATTCCTTATTATTTATTTTCCTCAGTGCATGGCAGTTTAGAAATGTTGAGTATATTGTTTAGATGTTCAGTTAAGATTTGTCTTCAAGATCTTTCTTTGGACAGTATCCAAATATACTGTGCAATAGCTATTAGCTATTGCATTTTATCATTTTCCCCTTTTTATCATTCTGTGATCATAAACCCAATTATTGAATTAAGATATCTATTAGTGATTTATATTTTAGTTTTTACTAAAATTACTCAATCCAGTGCTTATACTTAATGTTTTAATATTTTTCATAACGAATTCTTTAATTTCCTTGCTTTAAATATAATGTTAATGATTATATCTGCTTAGAAAGTTTTAAAATACTTTGTATAAAAAATACATACCTACTTCTGTAAAGATTTACAGCCTTGGAAACTCAATGGGGGTCATTTCTGAATACTTAACTCTCACCTCATTCATCTAAGGAAATTATATTTTGATCTATCCTCATTCCAATTATTTTCTTTCTTTCTCCCTTCCTTCCTTTTTTTTTTCTGGTGGCATAGTGCCTAAGGCATTTTACTGCTAACCAGAAGGCTTGTGGTTCAAACCCACCAGCCACTCCTGGGAAGGAAGTTTGGCCAGTCTAGTTCCTTAGTGATACCACCTCGGAGGGGGCCTAGGAGGGATCGCTATGAGTTGGATCTGACTCGACAGCAGTGGGTTTGGTTGTTTGGTTTTTGTGTGTGAAAAACTAATTCGAACAAAAATACTTTCACAGATGCCAGTAATTCTTCAGAACGGCCAAGAGGTGTGTGTTAAAAGCCTCAAGAATTCTTTAAGAGTCACTGCTTGGTGCAGTCACAGATTAACTAGTGATGGTATATATTTCCTCTGCCAAATATCCTACTGTGATGAAACATACTAGTAAATGTTTTAACAACCAGCTCTGTGGCAGGAAAAAAAGCCTTTATTTTGAGTTTGCAGATTTTTGTGCTGTAAACATAGCATGGCAGATATCAAGCTGCTAATGTGGCTTCACTGAACTCACAGTTGTGAAGACATGCGCACACTTGGCTCCAGAAGCCTTGAAAACAGCCTGGCACACCACTGGACCATATGCTGGCAAAATGGCTTAAAATAGTGTATTCTAATTCCTGCATAAGAAAATATAAATTGTAAACTCAGCTTCTTCTGTCTGCATGGGATCACCTGGCACATAGAGCAGGCCCACATTAAAACTTCAGTCAGTGCTATGGGAAATGACAGTGTAACAAGGACATGGAGGCAGCATCTTCTGAGCTCCTCTAACTTCACAAAAAGAAGACAGAATCACCATCAGCAGCCCAAGGCTT